AACACTGGATGACTTCCTCTTGAGATAGGCTCCAAGCGTGCGCAGGGATGGTGAGTCCTGCTGCCATCCTTCCCAACAGACGCACTTGCAGATGTTTTTGACGTCAGGACCACTCTCGCAAGAGGCTGTGGCTCGTTGGGTCTGAGCGCATCAAACACCATGCCGGCCAACATGTCCGCCTCGCAAAGGCCACCATGCTGGCAGTCGCACACCAGGGTCACTCCCTGCAGCTCCTGCAAGCTATTGCCCAATTTTTCCATCACCAGCGGCACGTCGTGTCCCGGTGTGAACGGAGAGGCCCATTTCGTACGCTTAAGCCTGTGACTGTGATGCCCCTGTCCAACAAGCTGGCCATCGCTGAGGACTTCACTCACCCCGGCCCTCCGGGGTACCCAAGGAGATTGCAAGTGGCGCTATGGCACATTGTCGCATGCTTCTGGGGTCAAAGTCCACCGGAGTGGACACCAGTGCAAGTGGACGGAGTGACCGTCTACCCATCAGCAGAAGAAGCAGAGTATTCTGCCAGTCTTCCTCTGTCGATCGCCATTGCGGTGTCATGGTGGGCGGCCAGAATGGGCTATGCAGTCATGGCGATCCCTAAACTGCCGCTGGTGGAGACGGTAGGCAGACGGAGCCACTAGTCTCGTCATGCATTGCAGGGGCCCCCAAGCCGCGATCTCCTGGATGTTGTGCCGTAGTCTCTGCGCCTTGGCCCGTGCTGAAGCAAAAGCGGAGGCTGAGTACTCCGTGTCTAACCAGAGCCCTGCGGCCAGCATCTCTTGCTCTTGCGGGAGACTCCAATGCAGGCTCCGGGCAGGGTTCTCCTGGAGCCCCCCTCTGCCGCTCTCTGCGGCCTTCTGCAGCCGGCACAACACCCATTTGCAGGCTGCATTGTCTGTATCCACTCTGGCCTGATCTCGAGGCCTCAGGTTGGGGAGGCCCTCTGGAGCGGTCACTCTGCAACGGTTGAGGGGCTTTCCTCCCGTCCGCAAACACCCGGGGAAATTCCCTGGCCCTGGGCTTGGTAGAGCAATCCAATGCAGCTGCGATGAATGCGCATTGGTCCAACTGAGGCTCCAGACTCCGCTGCCTTCTAACATCTGATAGGTCATGAGCTCTGTCCAGCAACCAGTCTACTTGCAAAGTCCTCCAACTGCAAAAGAGAAAGGTTGCGAAAGTGGAGCATTAGGACCACACATGAGATCTGCAAACGATGGAGGCTCGCCTCCCCCTTCCGGGGGCGATGGGGGGAACTCGTACTGCACTAAGGGCCCTCCCCCTGGGCCCTCAGGGGACCCTCAGGCTCTTGTTTTCACCGTACAACCGGCTGCCCCATGGTTCGCCGAGTTGCACGTTCTCTGTCCCCTTGTCACCACTCCACAGCGATGGGCTCCTTCAGGACAAGAAGCCCCCTTGACCTTGCAGTTCCCATTCTGGAAGGCGGCGCAAAGAGTTGCGCCATCCCTCATGGTCTTCGCCACTGCTTTGCCGCTCACCTTCTGCCCCAGCTGAAAGTGTGAGGTGAGCACTTCACCTGCTTGGCTTGGTTGTGAACCTTGGCCTCCATGCTGCGCATCATGACCCGATGAGCGTCCATCGCCTCATATGTCTCTTTCACAACCACTCCCAAACTCCGGGTCGACTCCCGGAACTTGGACACCCACTCGGACCTCTCCCCGGTGTCTTTCATCTGAAGCCATGCCAGGCGCTTTGATGCTGGCAGCTGCATCGTCACCCGCTTGGCCCTGGCAAAGTACTTCATCAGCACGTCCAGGGGTACGGCGACAAACTGTGTGGTGTCGGCTCCCATGACCTCTTCGTCTTTGGCAGGCGGCGCTCCAGTCACTCTGGAGGCACCTGCCAATGCATAGGCCAGCATCCGTGCATAAAGCCTGTCCAAGTAGTGCTCGGCGTCTCGAGGGCCCGCTTCTTCCATGTCGGGTTCTTCTGTGAAGAGCCCCTCGCCCAACTTGCGCTTCTTGTTCGTGGTGAGGAGTTGCCACTGTAGGTTCTTCACCTTCCACACCGACATCACACAAAGCATGCGCTTGTCCAGCTCCCTAGACACTCTAGAGACTGTGGCATCGCTGGGATACTGCTCTGTCGGGAAGCGCAGCTTGTAGCGGACCCAAAAATTCTGCTTGTAGGTCCTGAGCTCCGAGTCATCCAACAGTGTGTCCAAGTCAGTGGCCGATACCTTCGACCTGTCCTGCTCAAAGGTCTTGTAGTACATGGTAACGGCATGCCATGCTCGTCTAAGCCTTGCTGCTTGGATGTTGGTGTCCTCGCCCAGGCTCATCTTGGAGATCCACTTCTCCACCTTGGTCTCGCAGTCGAAGAGGAATCTGAACTCTTCCAAGTCCTGAATCTTTTCCTTGATCAGGGCATCGACTACCGCTCTTTCCAAGGAAAACTGCTCCCCTAACTTCCGAAGACGCTCTTCGGGGGAGCCATTCAAAACCGGGGTAAAAGCCATGATGCTTGACCCACAAGCTGGCCTATGCACAAGGGTATAACCAGATGCCTCAACACGGCGTGGTATGCCCCCTTGCATGGGTTCCAATAACAACTCTTGTTAGCTGAACCCATGAAACCTGCCCCCCTCCTGTCCCTGCCATGACGACCGACACAGACACATGCTCATGCCTACTGTCTGCATGACGTGCTACTCGCATGCAGAGGGGTAAAAATCAAATGAACGTCAACAAAAATCACAACTAGGCGCCTCTCACTTTTCTCTGCAAGCACATGATGTCGATCTTCAGGCTGACATACCGATAGTCCGGTAAAAAGAGCCGCTCTTAGACGTGTCAAAGACAAGAAATCCATGAATTACTGCAGCAAAATGCTGGCTGGTGCCCGCTCTCGGCACACTGAACAAAAAGGTAAAGACCATGCAATGGCTTCGTACTTGTCTGTCGTGATGTCGGGTGAGCTCAACTCCCTGGGGCGACTCTGCCCTTGCTTGTGGGCACAGAGGGTAGACATATTGCCCTCGTTGTCGGTGAGGATGTTCACATGGGACTTCTCGGAGGCTGCCCAAGCTATATACTGCCTCCGGCAAGGGGGGCGGCAGCGTTGTCCTGGCCGTCTTGTGGGGGCAAGGTGCGTCTCGGCCCTGGGTCAAGACTGCGAGAACTCCGGTCTCCCCTGGAGTCCCACAGGAGCCAGATGCACAGGTCTCGCCAGGACCTTGATAGTGCTTCCAGCTGCCGCGAGCAAGACCTCTGCCGTTATATGCGGCTATCCCCAAAGCAACCAAGTGCTCATGCTTCTCCATCAGAGCTGTCCCCACACATGGCGCAGAAGGGCAAGTGGTCCCTGCAGTCGTCACACCAGTGAGTCCCACAGCTCGGGCACTCCAAGAACCTGGGATAGTTGCAGACCACACATAATATGGGTGGAATGAACTCCCCTTCTGCCGCTTCCGCACCCAACAGCATCCGTAGGAATCTCCCAGCCTCGTAGTAAGGGCCCTGCTGGTCTGGCACGAAGAAAACTGGCTCATCCCACAAAGCTGACCCGTGCTGCCACAAACGCCACATGGCAAAGAAGTAGCTCTGTGAGACCCCATCGTCTCCACGAGCCAGCCGATCCGAGAGCTTGGCCACATACTCAGGGATGAAGTCTTGGACGCTGTGCCCAGAGGCATACATTTGGACTGCGACAAGGTCCAAAGTCTCGTGAGGATGGGCATGGTAACGATCCCAGGTGGATGCCACCGAATACCCTTCTTGAGCGAAGACGGCTCTGCGGGTCCATGTCCCAATGAACGGGAACTGGAACCCTCACACCTAGCACATGGTGTCTTGCAGTATGGCATACGGCGGATGGGGGGCATGTCCGGGGATTGCAGCACTGGTGTAGATGGGTCAACTCCCATGTGCACCACTTCGAAGACTGAATCCCAAAGGGTCCGAGCCTCTTCGTCTTTCCCGTCCAACAGCAGCATGTGCACATGCTGGCTGAAGTCCATCCAAGAGCCAGTAGACAGCAGCACCTGGTCCGTGCGCACCGCCACATGGAATCCTTGTAAACTCATGTACCCCTAGCAGTCGCTCTACCAGGAGGTACAAACCAGTGGGGCGATTGTGGTCCCTCCACAAACGTATGAGACCCAAAAAGCAAAAAGATGCTATTTTGGATCAAGACACTTGAGCCAAAATAACATGGTGATTAGAAATGAACAGTGCAAACCCATGCCTTCCAACACCTGATGCACATATATATATATATATATATATTTGTAGTTTACCTGGACATATGTGTTTTTTTTTCGGGATTATCACCTTCTAGATTCTACATTATATGTTTTATCATCGCATCACATTATATTACAAACAACACTGCATGATGCTCTGCAGTGGTTCTATCACATCAATGCGCTTTCGGCAGTAAAAGCAAAAATTGTGTGCACGTGTGCGTCCGTACATACAAACTCAGGGGTCCATCCCAGCTAGTAAGTGTGTAATGGCCATATTTCCAGAGTCAGAAAAGATGGGTTCTAAACCACTTACCAAGTGGGTCCTGCACATCCAAGTATACAAAGATACCATAAGATACCCATACAGGCCCATACACTTACCATACACAAGGGCCACAAGGGCCACAAGGGCCACAACCCGTTCCACTTCCATGCCCTGCGCCGTCCTTCAGGCGAAAAAACCCTCAGAATGGCGGCGGAATGCACTGAGTTTGACTACACCCATGAAAGGCAATGATTCACATGTCATTCACATGTCTGGCCTGTCTGGCAATGTGAAATTCTCAAACATTTCTACCATGGCAATTTGAAATTCCCATTCTTACTGGTAAAGTATGTCTTCAGATTGGTAGAAAAAATGGAAGATTGTCCAACAATGGTGATCCGCCACCGCCCCAAACCATAATGCCCTGCGACGCGCCAACAGTTGGTGTTAGTCAACAGGATTTGTGTGGGCACATGCCTTGCCCCAATATGCCAGAGGACGGTCCCAAAAAAATCCGTCCTGACTGCAATGTCACAAAGGATCTACAATTCGGGCAAGAATGCAATGGAGATGTTTCCTCGACATCTTCGAGAGGAGGAGACGCGAGCAACCATGCTGACCCTGAAGAAGTGCAAGTCCAAGGATGGCATGGGATGTGGACGATGAAAAGGCCTTGAGCCTAGCCCAGCCTAGTGGCACTTGCCCAAGAAGAAAAAGAGAGAGAGAGAGAGACCGGGCGCCTTGCACAACTGGGGCGGAAAACAATAACAATTCAGAGGACCATCAGAGGACAGAGAGCAACAATGGTGAAACTCTGCAACACAAATGATTTATATGTATATATAATTGTGGAAATGACCAGCCACGTGTAGGTTTCGCACCCAGTGTTTGACCCATACCTTGTGCATCTTTTCACCTCCTTCACTTGAACCGGGGCGTTTTGGCAAGGCACGGCACGGCTTGCAGGTGCCCTTCGTGTGTGCATCCAACGTGTTATACACTGACTCAGTCGATTCCTGGTGGCAGCAATGCAATTCCTGATGTGGGAATGTCTCAAAGTGGGGTATAGCACCCAGCCATTTCAATAGGAAACTGATGATTAACCAATGGATTTGGGACCCCATGTTCAAACAAAACCCTCATCTCTCTGCAGAATTCGCCTTGAAAACTTGAAATCCCAGAAGTTGACAGAGCAGTCCTCGCTCTGCCAGCTTTGTTGTCTACTATCCCCAGTGCCAAACTCCGTGCTACCAACCTGCAGGACAGCAAGCCAGGAACAAGTCAAAGTGGGCCAAGCAAACATCCGGAATACAGCAATTTGGAACGCCAGAGAAGCTGACAACTATACCACCAGAGTATTGACCCATCCCCAATACCGGCCTCATCATCGGAGTCTTTGCTGGAATACGGAATCGGTGTCGCAGTCAAGTTACCGGCTGAAGCGGCTGAAGCGGCTGAAGTCTCATGTGACATGCCGAAGTCTCTTGATCTGCTTGAAGCGGCCTGTCGACACAGGGATCATCAACCTTTGGGATTCGCAAAGTACTTTGGGATCATCCTCTGATATGGGCCAGTGACTGAAAAAATTGGTGGTTTTCATGTCCAAAAGTCACCCAAAATTGGGCTGTTTGGTTCTCAAAATAGTCCCAGCCTCAAACTTGCTTGATGCAGGTATCCAGCACGTTGAGCTCGGTCCGCTGCTGATAGGACTCCCAGTTGAACTCTCGTTGGTCTCATCCAGGGAAAACCTGCCTGCCACATTTGGATGAAACATGATAAAACATGATAAAACATGATAAAACATGATAAAACATGATAAAACCATTCATTATCACAGAAAGGGTCCAAAAAATGAAGTACCCCTGAAATCCCATGGTTTAGAAACTCATTTTCCTCATGTTTCAGGTACTTCCAGCTGACAAACTCATTTCCATATGTTCCATTATTCATCTGCGTGTGCCTGAATACTGGAGGGCCTCTGCCTCCTGAAGATTGAGCAACGAGTCCTGAGAATGGTCAGGCTGAAAAGGAGGACGGGGACGACGATGGCCACAAAAAGCGGTGTTGAAAACCCTCTTGCGCATCCTGTAATGCGCGTAATGCAATAGTAAACCATCCCCAATTCTACCATAAATGGGTTGTATGAACCATTATTGCATTACCAATAAGATTCTAAATTTCTTTGTCGATGCTTTTTTGTGGTGCTTCTGCAACCGCAGGTTTTGTTTTTGCGGGCGCTCAGGTTATCACACGTGTGTGGAAATGCGCAGCTTTCGCAAAGAAATGTCTAAAACATGGGTTAGCGATGAGGATAAAAACAATTTTTGTAATTATCAACATGACATATATGACATATATTTATATATACATATGACAGTTAACAAGACAAAAATCACAACAATGATGTCACCGCGAGAGGACGTGTCTTTGTCAGGACAAGCCACTGAGTCGTGGATGTTCAACAATCGAAGACCTCAAATGGACATGGTGAGCTCACCATTCATAGAAGAAAGTGTCCTTGTTACATGGTTTCTACCATGTCTACCATGTTTCTACCATGTTATACCATAATATGATAGGTGTATACATGTGCATACCATAATCTCACAAGAAGTTCACCATTCACTGATGACTATGCAGATTTGGTTGGTTCATGTTGGTTCATTCTTTCCTCCTGTCAGCCCGAGTCCCTCAGGCTGCTCTTCTAAATAAGGCAAGAAGCAAATGTCCGTCCGGACAGACACAATGCTGTCCTGTTGCGCATGTAGCAGTTGGTGACTACATAGAGAAACCAATGGTTGGTTTAAAAAAAAAAGTTCATAAATTGTGATCATCCTCAGTATATTAGCGTAAGAACCAAACAAATCATCAACCAACAGGGGAACAAAAAGCCACTGCTCACTGGTTCCAATGACCCAACTCTTGGAGCTCCCTCGATCTCCTCGGGAGGACTACATTCCGTGTTCCTTGTTGCCTCATTCCTTCGGGACGTCAGTTCATATGGTTACAACGGTTGCAGGATGTTAAAGGGATGATTCCATGCAGACAGGGCGGTAAATCTTCAGGACGGTAAAACAACTGCTGTTAGATGAACCTCGCAAATAACTAAGTGTCCATTTGCACTCAGATAGTGACCATGCTGTATGGGTTTCATGACCATCGCCGTCTTGTCCAGGCAATTGACATGCTGTTCTATGCTTTTCTTCAATAACTGCTCTTGGCAATTCCATTCACTTCCAATTCACTTCCACATCACAGTCCACAGCAGTCCACAGCAGTCCACAGCAGTCCACAGCAGTCCACAGCAGTCCTTCCAGTTTCATCAATTCTCCCTGGTATTATAGGACTGGCCTCGACAGACCTCAGCAGCTGATCATGGAAAGGTGCCTGCCCGGAAGCCATTCCCCACGGGTCGAAGCCAAGTGCCGTCAGGCTGCAGTGGCAAAAGTGAACTCGGACTATGGAGAAATATCCTTAGATGCCAGCGAAATCAGAGGCGGACTTGTTCTCAAAAAGATGCCGAAACAATCTTGTAATACTGTTTGACAGGTGCGGAAGCAAACAAAACAAAAACAAACAAACAAGATAAAAAAAAAACAGCCAAACCGCAAACTGCAGCTGAGAGTCAGATGCTCAGTGCATATTGCAGGTACGGCTTCTGCACTTTGATTCATCCGGAGCATGGCATAATCAAACATATAATTTAGATCATTAGTCATTAGGTTCTGGAACTTGAACCATCAGACCACGGCGATTTGTCTGTCGTACATTTTGCAGGAGGCAACAGCGATGCAATACGATGCAATGCAATGTGCATGGCTTCGTCTCATGAGAAACGGGGGATGAAGTAGCCCCAACAAACATGGTACTTTTTCTTCATGGATTCGAAAGGAAATTATGAAAAAACGATTGGCTTTTGGTGGCCGAATCTCGAGTTTTCGCTGAGGAGAGGGCAAGGAGCTCATCTCAAACTCATTCGACTCAGTAAAGTCTTGGTCATGGAGAGTTTTCTGCTCCTGGAAAAACGGAGAAATTGAACCAGAAACGGATTTGGGGAAAAGGTTTCAAATTCGCTGCTAGGCGGGTCACTCTGGTAGTGATGCAAGATACATGTGGTTGCTTTTTCAACAACTGATGTGCATCCAGCCCAGCCTTGATCCATTGCCTGAAGCTATTGCTGGACGTCACATCGAGCTCTGGGCCAGGGTCGCCAGGTTCCCATGCAGTTCTGAGGGCATATCGATATGCCTCCGACATGCTGGTTTCATGGAAAACCTCCATGAATAAAGTCATCAAATGGATAGAATCCATCGAAAATATCTGAAAATCATGGGAAATGATCCATTAAAGGAATTGAAACACAATTAAATGCATGAAACGAATCGAAATGGGAGAAATTGCTTTGGAAAGTGAGAGCTGGATTTCCGCTGAAGATTCCACCTTGCCTGCTCTGCTCCTTCCAAAAACTCCTGAAGCATGTCACCATGATAAGATTTTGACACCAAATCCAAAGCTTCTAGCCAGAACCATAGCAATCTACCATAATCATGACCATAGCAGTCTACCATAATCATAACCATAGCAATCTACCATAATCATAACCATAGCAATCTACCATATTCATAACCATAGCAATCTACCATAATCATCACCATAGCAATCTACCATAATCATGACCATAGCAGTCTACCATGATCATAACCATAGCAATCTACCATAATCATAACCATAGCAATCTACCATATTCATAACCAAAGCAATCTACCATAATCATAACCATAGCAATCTACCATAATCATAACCATAGCAATCTACCATAATCATAACCATAGCAATCTACCATAATCATAACCATCGTACTCTACAATCTATCAGTCAAAACCATAGCATTCTACCATAATCATACACATAGTAATCTACAATAATCATAACCATAGCAATCTACCATAATCATAACCATAGCAATCTACCATATTCATAAGCATAGTAATCTGCCATAATCATAACCATAGCAATCTATCATAATCATAACCATAGCACTCTACCATAATCATAAGCATAGCACTCTACCATAATCATAACCATAGCGATCTACCATAATCATAAGCATAGCACTCTACCATAATCATAGCCATAGCACTCTACCATAATCATTACCATGGCAATCTAACATATTCATAAGCATAGTAATCTATCATAATCATGACCATAGCAATCTATCATAATCATAACTATAGCACGCTACCATATTCATAAGCATAGTAATCTACAATAATCAAAACCATGGCAATCTACCATAATCATAACCTTAGCAATCTACCATATTCATAAGCATAGTAATCATAACCATGGCACTCTACCATAATCGTATTCATAGCAATCTATCGTAATCATAACCTTAGTAATCTATCACAATCATAAATCATAACCATAGCACTCTACCATAATCATAGCCATAGCACTCTACCATAATCATAACCATAGCACTCTACCATAATCATAACCATAGCAATCTACCATGATCATAACCATAGTAATCTACCATAAGCATAACCATTGTAATCTACCATTATCATAACCATAGCCATAGTAGTCTACCATAATCATGACCATACTAATCTACCATAGTCAACCATGTATATTATCATATGTATGCATATGTTTGCATATCCACAACCAGGTTCCTTTGTTTTTCCCCTCGATTCCTGTCATTTCTAACCTGCTAGCTTCATGATCTTCATTCATTCCAATAACCAGGTAGTTATAGGAGCTATGTAAAACTATAGTTATATCAGTGTCTAAATACCAGGTATACCATAGTAAATTTCCCAGTATAACATCGTTTATAACAGTTTTTAGAGCCAGCAATTATTCACCGTCGTTTCCCGACGCTCGTCTCCTCGGAGGTATTCCAATTTCTCACAATTTGCGGACCATCTCCAGCTGGAAAGTCCATCCCTCGAATCCAGTGGCTCACACGTGTGAAGGCAACCTGGGCCCACTGAGCGCTTGCCAAAGGTTTGCCGGATGCGGTATCCCCAACATGCTTCATTTCCACTATGTAATGGGGATAGAAAGGGATAGATATCTAAACAGCAACTGGATTTGAAGTGCTCCAATCATTGACAAACCCACATTGACACCCCACTTCGCCTCACTGCCTATGGCGGACAAATGGCTAGCACTGGAGAGACCGCCTTCAAGACCGTGGAAGAACGACCTCGATGACTCGATAAAAAAAAGGAGCCAGGTGTTTCCCCATGTTGGATTACCGGGTAGTTGGAAGTTTGGGATGCGAAGTGTCACATTGCCGAGGCTGCTCCACTGTATGAGAAGACTATTTAAGAGCACTGCGCAGCTAATCATCAGTGTCGGATCTGGCTAAAATGCCGATGATTCAGCCGCAGACCAACAGCATCCACAAAGCTAGCTGTCTTGAGGTGTTCGTGCAGCACCACCTTCGTCTAGGGAGCCACTGCAGCTGTTCTGGTGTCCATATTCTCGACAGCATCAAAAGAGTGGGACATCGAGTATGTTATGTATGAATACTATGTGTATATATTATATTATATATATATTATATATATATTATATTATATATATTATATATATTATATATTATATATTATATATATTATATATTATATATATATATTATTGTATATTATATTATATATATATATTATATTTTATATATATATAATATTATATATATATATATTAAATATATATATATATTTAATATATATATATATATTAAATATATATATAATATATATAATATAATATATATATATATATTTACAGTGTGCGTAATCTATAAATGTAATGTACATATTCATATATCTATGTGTCTGTGTTTCTTGTGCTATATGCATATACATATATATATATATGTATCTACATTCATGTATATATAAAGATATAAATTACACCAGTTATTTCATATTATACGTTTACATATCAAACATTATATACACGTGAACTAAAAACCTCTCAACCGCTGCAAATCACACCTCAGGATCCAGTGTACGCGTTGCCCAGCGCCACAGTGGATGCGAGCGCACCATGGCGGCGGGCTTTAGGCATGGATAGGTACAGTTTCTAAAATGGTGTTTATTGGGTTTTCAATGGGATTAACCAACCAAAATGATATTTCACGGGATTTAGATGGATTTAACGGCAATTGGATATAGCGACCAAGATATTTATGATATTTGGGTTTATCTGAAACTTAGGTATACCCCCAAATAAATGGCGGAATATGATGATTAAGCAATGGATTGGGAATATGTACCAAAAAATATCGATTCTCACAGAGAAAACGCTGATAAAGCATGGGGCTTGGGGGTTTGAGACAACCCCAAATGAAGCCTGTGAATTCGCAATCAGACTGTTGGGTAGTAATCAGGGCATCCAACAAGGTAGCTGCTTGCGCCATCAAGCTTGGGTGTTGTCCACTCCCAAAGCAAGATGTTGCCTCAAAAAAAGATAGCCTACCGAGCTGAACATATCAAGTTTTGCTCGAAAGAAAGGGATGGGCGAGAAGTGCTGAGATAAATTCAAAATAATTCAAACATCTATTTCGCATCAAAATTGAAACCGGAACTCCAAAGGCAATGCGCTAGCTCCTACGCTTTTCAACATCTGTCGAGCTGTGTGGAGCTGTGTGGGCTTCACCAAGTGGGAAAATTGATGGTACTCTTGTGAAGCTCAAAGAAGAAACCTGTGTACATATCACATGTCCATTCCAGGGTAGCCGCGTAGCCAGTCAAAAGTATCTTCGCAGCCAGGTGTTTTTGCAATTACCCTGCAGTGAATCAACCTAGACATGGAAAATCCACCATTTACAGATCATTTCCTGGGAATATCATCGATGTTCCAAGGAAATTCATCGATTTTCCGTCTATGTTGGTTTGCCCCAGACTAAATGTGCATTTCTAAAAGTCTGTCGGTCAGCAATTCTCTGTGTCAACTGGTCCTGCCTCGGTCTTGCCAGCACCACTCTCTCCAGTGATAAGCAAAGCATGCCTGCAAAGGAGCGATCTGTGGGATATCAGTCACTGACAACTTAAGATCTTGATTCGCTTCGCATTATTACAAACCCAACAATGCATAAATACTTTGGTGAAAATTGCATCCTACTAAAATAGCGGCAAATTAGGTTTCTATTATTTTGGGAGTTACTATAGCTATGTTTTCTTCATGTTGGGACCGATTGGAGACCACAAAGACACCAATGAGTGTTCATTCTGTCTTGTGGATAAATGAACGATAGTATCACCACTTGCTCCTAGGCATTCCTTTCACAGACAAGTTCAGTCAACGCTTTGAAGCAAATAAAAACTATAAGTCATGTCACAGAAATCAATTCCCCAAGTCTGACAGTGCACTGCTTCGTGGTTGCAGCTCATCCCAAACATCTGTCTGTCGGTTGAGATCATCCTAAACACCAAACACATGGGGCTGCCTTTTGCCAGCAGCCGCTAGCGTCTGTCTCACAACTGCATATAAATGAGGAGCCTTGCAAGTCCAACAAAATGAATGCTGAGGTGTGTCGATTCATATTGATTCAGGATACCTAAACAGCCAATTGTATCTGACTTCACTGTGTTTCAATTTGCTCAGAGAAAGATTTTTCAAGACACACGTTGCAACACCTGAGGCGAATCTCCACCAGTATAACGAGCAGCTACCTCCTCACAGGAACTTGCAACGATTGATTCGCCAAGAGTTCGTTCAAACATGTTCCCTGCAACCCCCTGGTTCGCCCACACTCAAACAACACATCTAAACAATATGATATACTTGTCACCAGAGGATGAATGAAAACACTGGCTATACGCAGGGTTTTAATTTAGGGTTTTGGGTTTTAGGTTTTAGGATTTTAGGGTTTTGGTGTTTGTTGTCTTAGAAAGCAAAAACTTGAACCCTGCGCATGGATTTCAACATTTCATAAGATATGCGGGATTGGCCGCGGGCAAACCTAGGGGTTGCAGCGAACATGTTTAAACTAACAGCATTTCGCGCTGAAACAAAACCAGATGACAAGATCCAAATCAACGACAGCGGATTTGGTGGTTTTCTCCTCATCAAATGCTCCCACATTTGAGTAGGGATTTACGGACACCAGCACATCACCAAGCCAGGTGTAGATTTGCTGCCTTTCGTACCTGAATCAAAACAAAGAGGACTTCAAAGTCTACAAACCTTCAGCATGTGCAAGCGGCAAAATCCCACCTTGCCCACAAGCCACTCAACAGTTCCGCATCACTGAAGTCCTCATACCAAAGAGACTTGGTACCATAATAACTTTGTCGCTTTGCAGCAGATGTTGGTTTGTTTGTATAGATATTCAAGTTTAGGCGTTTAAAAAAAATAAGCCCAAACAATCCTCGAGGCACAGCAAATCAGCTGGATCGCTTGCAATATTGCCTCAGTAAGTGTCTGCTGTCCTTCGGTTTACCTTGAAAGAATAGAAATCCCTGGGATGAGGACTGCTTGAGGGTACGGCAGGTTCACAACCTTATGATGCAATTCGACCTGGATGCAAAGCATTACCAAAACAAATGTGGTCCTCGCATCCACCATGAAACGAATAGCACCGCGCTGATGAAAACATGTTATTTAGACTGGTTGAGGATCACGCCGGATGAATTTTGACGTCGAACTGCTCGGACTGTTTGCGAATGCCCTGAAAATTTGAAAGGTATGAGCACAGGCGTCAAAGAGAATCAACAAATTGTTTGTTCAATCCGAATTTGCATCGGATGTGGGAAGGTTTGAAATCAAAGACACACCCATACCGCGACAATCAAAATCCCAGGTCCAAGCCTTTTGCGGTGTCCAAGAATGATGTCCTGAGCACTTCGTTCATTTGTGTTTGAAATTACATTGTATAAACCAACCAAGCACAATTGCATTCATACCAAATGAGGTGCGATCATTTTGAATGCCCACTGGAAAACCAAGTGGGCAAACCATACAGAAACCTTGAGCCAAGCTGAAACCAAGCAAATTTGCCCCTATTCATGTTGTGACACAAATACTTCGAAGGAACAACAGAAACACTGCCATCATCAGTCCATGTAAAATATTGAAAAAATACAACAGTTCAATGTATACATATTTTTAACCTGTGCTACATTGCCATGAATGGTTAAACGTGTATTACAGTGAAACATGTTTCGTTGGAAACCAATCCTGTCAAAAATATTTTATGTTGTTTTCAACAAAATGTGCGAAATGTCCAATGAACACCATACAACCACAAGAAAATTGATATGAAATATGACAAAACAATTGCCTGAACATATTTGCACCAAAATCAAACCAAATTGGGTAATGTTTAAATGAAAAAAAAATGCCACAATTACTTGATTTTGTGTTCCACGGTCCACCTGTGTTTACCTGAGTGCTTGGCTGCAACACGCCGAGGTGTTTCAAACACATTGACAACCGCTGAAATTATGGAACAGGGGTTTCATTTTTGGTGATGATGGATTTCAAAAGTTGTGGTAGGAATCCGTCCATTTTCAGACAAAAACAATGCGCAATAGTGTTATGTGAATATGCAAATCCTTCATACGGCAATGCAAACGTGAACCAATGTTGTCGTTCAAAGTTATTGAACAACGGTTTTTTGCGCATGTTTGTGTTAAAGGTTTTGAGCATTAAGGGAAAACGTTGTTGATACTAAAATTGGAGCATGACGATCTGCTGCCAATATGCCACTGTCAACTTGCGAGAAAGCAATGCACAAATGGCAATGTCAAGCCAAAGAGTGACGGTGTTATCCTCCACCGCGCAAAATATGGCTAGGGCGCATGTCAGCCTCAATGCATTGGTTTCCCTAGCCTTTGCAAAGCACTCTGTGGTGATGCAAATTTGACACTTTCGGGGTGTTGCACTGAATTTTCGTCTATTCATCATCTTCACCTTCGGAATCTGACAAGCGCTCAGAGATTGCATCATGCTCCAGACTTCCATTCTAAGCTCAGGTCGCTCGTCACAAAGACGGCAAATACCCACCATGACTAATCTGCGTTCCACATTCCTGTACACGGCATGTGAGTGTCCAGCTTCCATGGCATAGTTCAACTTTTCGGTGATCTGCTGAATCAACCAAAAGGCCATGCGCTCAGGACTGTGAGACTGATACGGTGGGGCAACTTCTTCTGGAACAAAAGCGGCAGGAGGGTCAGGTGGCACGAAGCTTTCGGTTGGTGGAAGTTGCGCAACTAATTCGTTTCTCTGCATGTTTTTGATGGTTATTTTGAGGTATTGTGGGGTTGCGACCCCCACCGTGCCCCTGTGGCTGTTGTTTTGTTTTGTTGGGCTCTGGCCCCGTTCCTTTTGTTGTTTTGCCTGTGTGGTTTGTGTTTGGAGGCGAAACGCAAATCTGGGGGATTTGCGGGTCGTCTGGTGATTGATTGGTTACGTTGATCTGGTCTGCCACAGTTAATATCAGCTGTACACTTTGAACTCAAGATGTGTTCAATCTTTGCTTATCTTTCTTTTATACCAATCTCAGGACTGAGGCTCTGAGCTTTATCGGCCGCACTTCGGAAAAAAAACTCTGCGGGTTGCGGTGGCGCTGACTAGGGGTTCAGTCGAGTCATTTGCCTTCTGTTGTCTCCCTTAGTGCTAGCAATCAGTTGTACATTGCAACGGCTCTTTGGTCGTGACGTGCTGTCGCTTGGCCCCAGTTTGCCCCATAAGTAGGTTCTCTGCTGGCTTGGCTTCCGCCTCTCCGTAGCGTGATTCGGTTTGGTTGTCTTCATCATTGCAATGCGTGGCACCAAAGGCAAAGGCCCTGTGTGGGGAGTTTTCCCTCTACACCATGTTGAGCTCGGTGGAAGTGATGCCTTACACGTTCCCGCTGGGATGGTCCTGCATCGGTGGATCTCATTATCTCCGCCCCTGCTTTCCAATTGGACCGTCGATGTGGCTATTTTGTCTGGACGTGTTTTCTACCAATCCCCAGCAGTGTGGTTCTCCGATACAACACTTCAGGAACAGTGGCGAACACTAGACTTCCCCAGCCGACCCTTAAAGAAAAAGTTTCAGGAAAATGAAGAGAATGCCTTTGCTGCGAAGAAAGTGGCGCTGCAGAGGACAGCTGCTGATCGTGAAGAGCACACGCCAGTGACCTTTGCTCTTGAGAACAGTTGGTCCGCAACGCTGCGTGAGGACAAGCGATACTATCACCAATAGATCACTCAGTCTGACATGAGGTTCCCAATGCCCTCCTTCCCTTATGCACGCCAATGATAAGCCCTATTATCATTGTACATCCTATCATCCCATCACCCTGTTTCACCTCTGCCCTGGCCACTTGGCCTGCTCACTTTTCCATTGATTGGCGCTCGGTGGCCCCCCCTGGTTTTTATTTGACTCGGGTGATGACTCGTTTTGCTGCTCTGTCTCGGTGCATGTTGCTCCCTTTGTGTTTCCTGTGGTTCATTTCCGGGTGCAGGCTCCCCGATTTTGCACTTGGCCTGGTTGCCCTCCTTCCTCGGGCTGACTCCTGTTGTCTTCCCCTTCCCCTCTCCTTGCCCTTTGTTTTTTCCCTCCTTTCCTTGTGTGGCGGTCTGGTCTGGCTTTCCCCCCCTCCTTTTTTCCCGAGAGCGCCTGCGAAGGGTTCTTCGTAAACAAGCAGCCGTTGTAATACATCTTCAAACCCTCACATCTGCTGATCTACATCTTCACACCTTCACATCTGCTGATCTACATCTTCACACCTTCACATCTGCTGATCTACATCTTCACACCTTCACATCTGCTGATCTACATCTTCACACCTTCACATCTCACATCTGATCTACATCTTCACACCCTCACATCTGCTGATCTACATCTTCACACCTTCACATCTGCAGATCTACATCTTCACACCTTCACATCTGCAGATCTCCTCTCGCTCTTCTTTCTATCTCTCTCTTAAGGCGGGGGCGGTGCCGCCGGAGCGCCACGAAACGCAACCCTTTCGCACAAAATGGACGTTGGACGTCAAAAACTGAGGTAAAATTGCGATTTTGAAGTATCCATCGCAACCCTTTCGCACGAAATCAACGTTGGACGTCAAAAACTGAGGAAAAATTGCGATTTTACTTTGTCCATCGCAAATATTTCGCACGAAATGGACGTTGGAAGTCAAAAACTGAGGAAAAATTGCGATTTTACTTTGTCCATCGCGACCCTTTCGCACGAAATGGACGTTGGACGTCAAAAACTGCGGAAAAATTGCGATTTTACTTTGTCCATCGCAACCCTTTCGCACGAAATGGACGTTGAACGTCAAAAACTGCGGAAAAATTGCGATTTTACTTTGTCCATCGCGACCCTTTCGCACGAAATGGACGTTGGACGTCAAAAACTGCGGAAAAATTGCGATTTTACTGTCCATCGCAACCCTTTCGCACGAAATGGACGTTGAACGTCAAAAACTGAAGTAAAATTGCGATTTCACGGGCCCGGTCTCTGTGTGTAAAAGGGTCTGTGTGTAAAAGGGTCTGTATGTAAAAGCGTCTGTGTGTAAAAGCGTCTGTGTGTAAAGCGTCTGTGTGTTAAAGTGCCTGTGTGTCAAGGAGTCTGTGTGTAAAAGCTTCTGTGTGTAAAAGCTTCTGTGTGTAAAAGCTTCTGTGTTTAAAAGCTTCTGTGTGTAAAAGTGTCTGTGTGTAAAATGGTCTGTGTGTAAAAGCCTGTGTGTAAAAGCTTCTGTGTGTGAAAGCGTTTGTGTGTAAAGCGTCTGTGTGTAAAAGTGTCTGTGTGTAAAGGAGTCTGTGTGTAAGGGAAGGGAGGGGGAAGGGAAGGGGGAAAGGGAAGGGAAGGGAAGGGAAGGGAAGGGAAAGGGAAAGGGAAGGGAACGGAAGGGAAGGGAAGGGAGGGGGGAAGGGAGGTGGGAAGGGAGGTGGGAAGGGGAAGGGAAGGTGAGGGGAAGGGGAAGCGGGAGGGGAAGCGGGAGGGGGAGAGGGAAGCGGATGGGGAGGGGAAGGGAAAGTGGAACCGGGAACGGGAAGGGGAAGGGAAAGGGAAAGGAAAGCGAAGGGAAGGGGAAGGGAAAGGGAAAGGGAAGGGGAAAAGAAAGGGAAGGGAAGGGAAGGGGAATAGTTACAACTAGTTTGAACTATACTCCCTAACTTGGAGCTTCCGAGAAATAGTTACAACTCCTACAACTAACTCTAACCCTGGGAGGCCCCAGAAATAGTTACAATACTTACAACAAACCTTCTAACCCTGGAGGCCCCAGAAATAGTTACAACTAGTTACAACTAACTCTCTAACCCTGGGAGGCTCCAGAAATAGTTACAACTAGTTAAACAGTTACAACTAACTCTCTAACCCTGGGAGGCCCCAGAAATAGTTACAACTAGTTACAACTAACCCCCTAACCCTGGGAGGCTCCAGAAATAGGTACAACTAGTTACAACTAACTCTCTAACCCTGGGAGGCCCCAGAGATAGTTACAACTAACCCCCTAACCCTGGGAGGCCCCAGAAATAGTTCTGGCTCAAGTAGACATTCCCCTATATGGTTTTATTTATTATTCAAATAAACAAAACAATAAACGCAAGAAACGGAAAACGCAATTGCCGATCACTCGCACTTTATATTAATTCTCTTTTTCGACTGCCAGAATTATTAATTGTCTTTGGATCCATTTGAACATATGTTTTGTGTCCAAATGTTCAGACACCAGACTGATGGTTGTTTTCCGCCATCAAAGAGCCAAAATTTTTGGCCCCATAGTAAAGGAGGAAGAGTGGATTGGAATCGCCAAATACACTCGAAACGCCGTGAAATTCGCAACAAAACTGGTGAGTGAAAATAAGTGAAACGGATGTTCAGCAAATGAGCCACGTGTCTCACAAAAGGTGAGCGAGAAAGAATGTGAAACGGGGGAACTATAACTAGACTGGGTTGAAGTGGAATAAACAAAATATGGTTCCCTCTAATCCCTATGAATATGGTGTGGGTGGGAGGGAAAAACAAAACTTTATTATTCCCTTCAAACAGGGAATGTTCCACTTGAGCCAAATGTAGATACATCATAGGATGAAGTACTACATTCCCAAAACATTAGTGAACAAGTACACTACACGTTCTGGCTCAAGTAGACATTCCCCTATATGGTTTTATTTATTATTCAAATAAACAAAACAATAAACGCAAGAAACGGAAAACGCAAATGCCGATCACTCGCACTTTATATTAATTCTCTTTTTCGACTGCCAGAATTATTAATTGTCTTTGGATCCATTTGAACATATGTTTTGTGTCCAAATGTTCAGACACCAGACTGATGGTTGTTTTCCGCCAATATATCTATCAGGCTGGTGGGATACAAACGCCAATAATTTCCCAGTAAAATGTGTTGGATTCCAGCAGTCGAAAATTTATTATGAAATTGTTTGTGAATACCCAGTCCAGTTTTATGGAAGTTCCCAAGACAAATAGGTTTCTGCCGGGTAAACTGCTACTGAGACTTCAGGATGCCACAGTTGGGAAAGTGAAATCTGAAAACGATTTTGTGGCAAATGATTGAATGGAGGTTCCGTGCTGTCATTCCATCGACTAAGTGCATCTGCTTCCTCATTCCGTTCGCCAGCAATATGGGAGAGGTCAAGTTCCATGCCTGAGAATGTACATAGGAGGGTCAGTTTTTCCAAGAAAAGGTTCATCGGAGATGACATCGAAAATAATTTGTTGCCGCCTGCCTCTGCTCCAGTGTTGTCTGTTAGAGAAGGAATACGCAGGGGATATCGAAATCCCGGCGAGCTGCGACTGAAAATAAAAAGGATTGCAATCTGTGCCAAAGTTTCAAAACAAGCAATACATTTCTGCATCTCCTTTTGAACTGGAATGTCCAGGGCTGAAAAATCTGTGTACGAAAATTTTTCGCTAAACCATACAGTGGTGCCAGAAGGAAAGCGAATGAAGCCACCAATCTGGCAGGTGTCGCCATGAGCGCAAGCATCCGCTGCACATTCTCCTGTCCAAAGTTGTTTAGGACGGAGACATTTCACCAGAGAAATTGATTGTAGCCATGCTAAAAACATATGGAGAATCCGAATAGAGTCAGCGGATAATGTCCTTTTTGCAGAAAGAGGATCTCGAATGCGCAGCCATGTGC